TCGTATGCAAAATGGAAAACTCCAACTTCGGTTATTAAATATTTCTGCCTGAAAATGTTTTCTACAAAAAGTGCTTTTGAAGAACTGCAGTCTACTATGGCATGTAATGCTCCATCTTATTCTACAGTGGTATGTTGGTGCGCTGAATTTAAAAACGGCTAAACCGCCTGTAATGACGACATTTGCTCCTGGTGGCCAACAGCGGCCGCTATGCAAGAAAACGTTAAAATATACGATAAAATCCATTATTTAGCTGATCCGTTTCGGACAGTTCAATTTATTTTAACTCATACCTTAAAATTCAAAAAGGAGACCGCGCGCTTTATGTCGAATGTTAACGACGCCCAAAAGAAAGCAAGAGTTGACATTTCAAAGCTAAATTTAGTAATAATTGAAGAAGATCCAGGTTCTTTTTTCTAACCATAGATGAAACATGGGTACACCCCTTTGCAAATAAATCACAATCTGCCATTGAAGAAACTTGGATGATATTTTCAAATAAATCACATTTTGAGATGGAAAAACCTCGGATGCCCTTCGTAAATAACGATCGTTTAGAATTTGTTTTTATTGTTTCGCAGATTGTTGATCGCTTTCTAGTTTCTTTCTTAAATAAATAGTCTATGGCATATTTTCCGTTAGTTTGGACATAACAAAGGCCTTCGATGGGCTTTATAAGAATTTGCGCATTTGTATCACAAGTTTTCTTGCAGATTAGAGCATCAAGGCCGTAGTAGAAGTAGTATGCTCCGACTACAAGCCTACTCGTATTAATGCTGATGTTCTACAAGGCTGCGTCCTATTACCTACGCTGTTTCTTCTCCATATCAATTATATCAATAATATGATACGAACCAGTAACATTCATTGCTATGGGAATGATAGCACCGGTGATGCTTATTACACCAGCCGGGCCCATATTTCTCGCAAACACGTCACGTTACCGAGTACTGGAACAAACTTGTGTCTAAATTCGAGTCTGTTAAAGAAAGTCTAAGATTGAGACGACTAAATCTAGTCCAGTTTCACCCTCAGAAGGCACAGGTTCGACACACATATCGCGACAAAATTCACGATAATATTTACACCATCTGGATGCTTGGCGGTACACCACTGTGCGATTTACTAGGAGTTTTATTCCTCGCCCGACTTCTTTGTAGAAACGTTTATGACTGGCGACTTTTACGGGCCGATACGACTTAGGATTTTTCAAGAAACGACCTTACTTCTTTTTAAAAGACTGGCGACGCACCTGTAATTCTCCTGGTATTGCAGTTGTTCTTGGGCGGCGATCGACACTTTCCATGAGTGAGCATTTTATATTTATATTATTGGTGAGCCGCTTGCTCGTTTGTATTCCTTTATAAAGTAAATTCCTTAAATAAATAAAAAATAAATTCCTTAATAAAATGCTCCGGTTTCAGCTCAATAATTTACGATTTACGATAATGTGCCAAAATGTGCCCGAAATACTTTTAAATTTTTTGGCATTTGTTTATGTTTCCTAGTTTCTACGCACACCTCAAACAAAACTTGTTCGCAAATTTGAAAGTGATGTTACCAACAACAGAATAACTCTTTAACTCAATTTTACTCGAAAATATATTGAATACAATTATGATCCTAAAATTTTCTGTTTAAGCACGGTGGATTATAAGCTGACACATGTCCAAATAGTAAAAAGAAAGAGGAAGCGAAAGTGCTTAGTGCCCACTGATTCTCCATTGTATGTACAACACGTCTCAAGTGACATTTTGATGTTCGAATTCCGAGTAGCACTTACGAACGCACTAAAAGCTACGTGTACCAGGTTTATCAGCGAAAGCCTAGATTACTCAATTTAACAAGTTTCACTCTTCCGCATATGTCTTTCAAAATGTATCATTAATTTCGCTTTTCACTGCTTCGTACGCGTAGATGATGAGGTTAATATAAGTACTGACTTGAGTAAATGTAAAAAAGAGATTTTTAATAAGAATTACTTGTGAATAAAAATTATTCTGTTCTATTCTATTATATTTTATAATTATTTTGATTGGAATAGAGTGATATTGCTGTATTATTTATATGTAAAAGGAACAACCCAGTTGAGTAAAAACAGTATACCTTAAAGATATTTGTAAGTGTAAAATTTCCCAATAAACTACGTTTTTGTTTACATATTCAGACTAGGAGCACGCGAGAAAAAACATAATATTAGCCGTAGGAGAAACAATTTCTCGCAAAGCTGATTTTAAAGTTTGAGCTTGTAATTTATTTATGGTCTTGTCGAATTTTAGCTTCTTATATAAAAAATAAGTTAAAGAATATTTTTTTATAAAATATGGGTCACAAACAAGTACACAGTCCACCTGATGGTAAGTGGATGCTGTAGCCCATAAACATCTACGTCTATCCTTGATTAAGAATCAAAATGCTGATGCGTTGCCACTCCTGAGGACTAAGATGGTGGCCTCATTTCCAGTAAAAAGGGTCTCTGATTCTCTACACTGACCATACGAAACACAGCAGTATTTAACTGCTATTTTACGCTGGTATTCTCTGAGAACGTGGTCCTTCTCCGGTTGAGCCGACCCATACGTGCTACAACCATACAAATATGGCTGCAGCATGACTCTACCACAATACGGTATTTAAATTTGCTGTAAATTCCGTCTTATTGTAGTGTGAAATATAATAAGTAGATGTCTTGGCTATACACAGGCTACTTCAGATGGTATTGAACACCGCATATTTACCCCATCACACTGATTGTATTTTTCGTATTAAAACAATATTACAGCAATGTTACTGTGTAAGGAGTATTTCGATTTACGCTCAAAATAAAAGTGTATTTGATACGAGACGGTACAACTACAAACACATACTGTATCATTGATTGATAACCAGAAGCTACAAGATAATGAGGCTTCATATTGGACACATTCCAGTTAAGAAGTTTGCATTTCTCGAGAAAAAGGTTCAGTCACTTAACTGTGAGTTAAAGAGCTAATGTATGGCTTGATGCTTGATGAAGTTTGTCCACAACGCTGCATTTCGTATTAATAAGTGCCATCACATTTTAAAAGACTTCGTTGATTATAATATAATGAGGCTGAGGTTCTTCGGAGGTATTATCGGTGTGCATTTTTTTTTCAGAGTAATTCTAAGGTTTTCAAAACCTGATTGATTGAATGAATCGAGAAACTAATCCAGATCATTTTACGGCCTAATCCTGTAACGCGGATGGATCGTATCTATTGATAAAGTAAGCTTAGTTCACAAAATCATTCCATGGTCTTATCCTGAATTTAATCAATTTCGGGGTGAATACGATTAATACAACACTATTAATTCTGGGACATTAGTCATTCATTTGCACATTTTATATAGAAGATCCGAAAAATCAGCAGCGGATTCATCACTCTCAAGATGCTCGTATAATTTTTCCTCGCTTTAATATTTTTACCGCGTGTAACAACGTTTACCATTTCGTGCAGGCTTTAATTTCGACAAATTACCACGGTTTCCTTTAGGTACCACGGGTAAATTTTGACGAAAATCTTCTGGCCACTGTCACATCACCAACCAGTTTTTTCCGCAAATGTATTGCAGTGTCCTATTTAAAATCTCAAGGTCTCTTTTACACTTATGTTATGTTATATTACAATATAGCAACATGTAATTCTGTCCAACACAATAATTTTAGCACACACACTTCTGCCAGACTGCTTTCTTTTGATATACTACATATATACTCTATATGAGTTAGATTATTGCCACTCGATTAATATTGCATTCACATTACGGTCACGAACCATGGTCCACAAATCATTAGTTAATATTTCTCCATATAAACTTTGCCACCCACCGTAACTTCTCCAAGTTTTATACTTCTAGATTTGCTGGTTTAGGCTTTAGGCTGTGCGTAGTCTTTCAGTAAGTCACGGTACCCTTTCATAGGTAGATTTGAAAATTACTGGTATATAAACAAAGTTGTATCCAATACAAAAAGATAAGAGATATTTTAGAAATTAAAGATATTTAATTTCTAAAATATCTCGCGTATTGTGGTATATAAATATTCCAACAGTCGTTATTAGAAGGGTACTGTTGTAACAGTACCATTTATTTCATGACCCAAAACAAAAGACTTCTCTCATATTTAAAACTCTATGTAGTACATTTCATAATTTCAGTTGTCATTATCAGACGTAAAACACCGCAATTTGCTTTAGCGAAATGGGTGGTCTAGGTGCTTTGAATGTGAAACAAAATCTCGGTCAGCAACCTTCAACTAATGACACGTTCATTTTTTTAACGCTTTTAGACAGTGAGGACCGCTCCGTACGTACCTAACAGTAAAGTGATGATAACTTCACCCACAATTTCATATTTTTTTCTTTCCTATCTCCCTGAACGGTTTGCTCCGAATGCATAGACAATGAGTCAGTCAACCGTACAAGCGTTAGAGATCTTAACGCTAATTTACTGATGATTAAATCAGATTTGATAAATGTTGATTTTCAACCATTGAAATTGTTTAAATTAAGCGAATTAGGGATACCTGCATCTTACAAAAATTAACTATAATAATGTGCGTTTCAAAAATTACAAAACGTCAAAATAATTTTTGGTTAGTTTGTAACTGAGATTTTTAGAACGTTATGATTTTAATTCATATACCTAATCGATAATAAAAATTTTAAAAGATTTCCAAAAATTTAAAATAACTCTGACCAAAAAATAATAGAAAATTGTTGTACACAATAACTTATTATATGAAAATATACTACAATTAAATTATAATATTTGAAACTGTTTACAAATAAAGTCGTTAACTTTTAATACGTTTTGTAAAAAAATATAATCGCAACCTAAATCTTCACATAAATCTTGAATAAAATATATTTTGTCAAAAGAATGAAGAAAAATAATAAAAAAATCACATTTTTACAAATATTATTTTATTATTTTACGTGTGTTGTTTAAATATTATTAAAAATAATGTTATTACTTACCAAATAAACGCAATAAGTTATACTAATTGAACACATTTTAAAAAAATTATTAGTCATTAATTGCACTATAAAGGAATAATATTATTTTCTGGTGTTCACTGGTTAAATACGAGATTTTCCTCGAACAGACACATTCGCGTTATAAAAAAGTGAGCGTGCAGTCAGCGCGCAACCCGCGCAGACAAGTGGTGCTGGTGTTCATTATAACGGGAGTTCGGCCGGGAGTCCTCAGTCCTCACCTTAGCTTTTTAATACACGCGCCTTACTTTACTTCCGTATGGGTCGCTCTCTCCGAGAAATATTTGAAATTAGCGCCATCTATTACAATAGGTCACTGAACCATTTGATGGGAGGGGAATCTAACCTAATTTAAATATATGTTTGTAAAGTATTCATAGTAAAAACTAACAATCATGAGTTTTTAGATAAGTTTATTTTGAAAACTTATTAGAATGATACCGGTTTTGACGTTTACCGGTTGACACTGACATGTGACATTAGCAACACAGACTCCCTCTCTTTCCCTCTCACTCAAGTGAAACAAACATGGCCGCATGGTTCGGTGACAGTGGTTCCTCCGATAATAGTAGTAATAATATTTTAGTGGAAGATTTTAGTTTAAGTGTTAATTTAAATGATGATTACGAGTCCTTTGATACGAATTTTAGTGATTTGCAATTTCATAAACATCCAAAAGAGAAAGCCGAAAACCTCGTAACATCAAAAAGTAAAATAAATGTTAGGGATTCCCAAAAAAGTGTAGAATTATTGTCGTAAGTAGTATTTGAGTAATAAATCATGTAAATGAATAAAGTTTTTGCTAACACAAAAAATTCGCCGTACACCCATATTCAATCAGCTGTTTATCAATATAATTGTTTCTCTCTCACACTCATGAAATTGTATTATCGGGTCTTTTTCTTGAAGTTTCATTTTTGGGCATTCTATTTTTGTACATTACCATCATGATCCGATGCGAATATCCTAATTTTATGTTTTAAAATGACTAGGATTCATTTATAAATGAAGATGAGAAGGTAACTTATATTTAACTAATCTAAGAATGTTTTAAACTCATAAAATATAATTAACAGCTAAACTTCTATCTAATATGTTAAAACTTTATTATTTATTTATTTTGTTTATTTACATTCGTTTGTCGTGTCATATTTATACTATATAGTCATATAGTATAAATATTATGCTTAAAAACATTTAATAAAATGCTTAATTATATTGCTGCTATTTTACTATCAGAGCTGAATAAAAAATATAATTATTTGAAGAATTCACTACATATTAGATGTATTAAAAAAAACTTATATACTAGCTATACATACTCTTATTTTGAAATTTCTCTTAAACTTTGAAACTTTACTAATCAAACTAACGATCATATTTGAAGCACTAATTTACAATAATATGCTTGATGGTAAAGGAAAAAACATTGATTGTAAAAATATATGCAAGTCTGAGTGATCTAATACATATTTCAAAGATTTGAAGTTTAATACAATGCATTGGGGTGGCCTCTTTCTTGTTCTAAAATCCTCTCAGAAATGAGAGGAGTTTAGAACAAGGCTGTGAGACATACTTTAGGCATTTTTTATTTATATGTTGCATATGTATAAATTTTAAAACAATTTAATTAATCAAATTTAAATAATTTAAAAATTAAATTAACTTAAATTAAATATATTACAAAAATGTCTTTTTATTGAACTGCCCTTGCTGTGCCTAGGTTTTTGCATTTTAGGCGTTATAATAATAATAATACTCTATTTGCACCATTATTTGTGATTGATAATACTTTATAAAATGTTTAAGTATACTTAGTTTTAAGTGTAGTATGATATATGTATAAAAGTAATATATTTATAATTTAGTTTAATGTTAGAAATAAAATACTTTGTAATTACCAGTATTTAACAATATTTTAATTTTTATACAGGCATAATGAGCCAGTATCAGAAAAACAGAAGTCAAATGAGGAGTTACTTAAAATCAACATGGATAAAACAAAAAGGAAAGTGGAGGATAACAGTGCAAGATACAAATGTGAATATGATGGATGCGAAAGGACTTATAGTACAGTTGGCAATCTCAGGACCCACATGAAAACACACAAAGGTATCTAATATTAGTATTAGGTATCTGTATTCAGATATCCTCAATCTTGTTGTTTGCAATTACATATGATGTAAACTCCTGTTCTTTTACTTCTAAAGCATAAAGTGCTAGTTTTCACTTTCTAGCGAAACTTGCAAAATTCCATTTCAGCTAAAAGCAATTTTTGTAATGAATGAAGCCAAGCCATTATAATTTAATACTTATGAAGGTATTTACCTCTAAACTGATGTCAGATGTAAAATCAGAACTGATAAGAAACTGGGATGTATTTTTATATTTTTCCCAATGTTTTCCTTCTCTGCTGCATGCAAATTTGTCCAGCGCAAAGTAAGCGTGCAACATTTGGTAGATAAAAAGTTTCTTTATTTGAAATGCTTTTGCTTGTTAAATAGTTATTGTTTATAAATTATATTTTTTGCCTCTATTAATATAAAGTATTTTATAAATGCTTAAGAATTTAATTGAGTATTTCATGTATGCACATATATTTTACTGAAAATATACTATTTCAAGAAGTATCGATTCTTCAATGTCAAAATTGTGTCTAAAATAGGATACTTTTGGCCCACTTGGCTTTGAAACTAATCTTACAAAAAATATTTGACTCTCATAAACTATACATACTTCTTACTAAATGTTCTGATTGCAGATTTTATTTGAAATTTCGTATTGAGTAGGCTCATTTGCAGTATGGCAAATTGATTTTAAAATAATTGAAGATTCCATGTTATAATATATTTATTAACTTAGCTTGGCCTTCTTAATAGCTTGGCTTTGCAGTGTGTTCCCAGCTTAAATTTTGTGTAATATACCTGTAAATCACAGTATACCTGTGAAATGGAACTATGAATATATACTTTCTTATATTTTGTTAAATAAAATTTTATGTTGCTCCTGCGTGGTATGGTAGAAATATCATTGAATCAATATAATTTGCAGTTCATTAATTATTTGCTTTGGTAATAAAATCGCACAGTATACTTTTGCCAGTGTCATGTATGAAATTGTCCTTTGTATTATTTTATTTAAAAAACTTCTTCACAAACATATGTTGATGTCTCATTGCAAAGCTTCATGGAAGATTTTTATAGCAGCACAAGACAGCCGACTGCCGTGATAATAGTATCTCAAGGTGACTAAGCAGACAATAACTTTTTTTAAATATAAAATAAGGGTGACAAACAAGCACACAGTCCACCTGATGGTAAGTAGATACTGTGGCCCATAGACATCCACATTTATAATCTATTAAGAATTAAAAACGCTGATGCATTGTCACCCCTAAGGACTAAGATGAAATGCCTCGTTACCAGTGAAAAAGGGTCTCCGGATCTCTACACTCACCATATGAAACACAGCAGTATTAAGCTGCTATTTTATGCTGGTATTCTGGTGAGCTGTGGACTTTTATTAAGATGTGATGAATAAATGAATTAATAAAGGATATCTTGACAGGGATACTAGTGTGAACATTTTTTTATTGTAATACTCTGAATGATTCTCGTATACAGATGACAATGTGCTCTTAGCCTGTTTATTTTACACTGATAATTTCCAAATAGTGGAAAATTATCAATAGTGCAGGATGACTGTCCTGATCCATCCAAACCTGATAGGTAAAGCAGTAGGCTAGGATTTAGTGTCAGAAACATGAGGATGCTAGGAAGTAGGAAGTAGACTTACTTGCTGATGAAAACTAGTGTTGTTGTGTATAAGCATGTTGTAGCATAGTGTTAAATAGGTACTCGGTGGCAAAAAATATCTTGAGAAGGTGCATATTTATATATATATTATATATATATATATATATATATATATATATATATATATATATATATATAAATAGTGAAGGTGCATATTTATTTATATATAGCATACTCCCAAAAAATGTGTTATCTCTGCTAAAGTATTGAACCACTATGTTTGTTTTATGAAATCACTAATTTAACCAATTCCTCATCAAATTTTGTAATAATAAAATTCAGGATATCGTTGGGAAGAATTCTAAATTGAAGGATGCTAAAGCTAGCATATCTACAGCGTAATTCAAACACGTAAAGGTTGCGACGTTGAGCTTTGGCTCGTTTATAAAGCTCACTCACAGAATACCAGCGCGAAAGAGCAGAATAATGTTGCTGTGTTTCGTACATAACCCGAGACCCTTTTTACAGTTAATGTGGTAGTCCATTTTAGTTCTCCCCTAGGGTGAAAACGCATCTGCATTTTGATTCTTAATCGAGGAGGAATGTGATGTTTATGAGCCACAGTATCCCCTTACGGTCAGGTGGAAACCTGATATATACACCCATTCAACTTGAGATCGCGACATGCCTCTGTTAATCTTTTGTGAATGTTTTACTTTCGTTTAGCGGTCTATGTTTTATTGTTATCATAATACCAAATTCCGTACGATAAGGTACAAACACGTTTTCTTAAAATAATTAGGTTTCTATACAGGCCGTTTCTATACTGCCTACGTCTCATTGATGATAATATTGCCTTTGTTTGATCTTATCTTATAAGCATTACGTCAAGTAGGGTAGGTCGAGAAGCATATTGCGTAGTTAATAGCTTTTGTTCTTTATACAGAGGATGTTTGTGGAATAAATAAAGTGCCTACATGTTAGAATTTTACAGGAACCTAATTGGAATAATAGTTTATTAATTTAACTTAATTTCACTATAAGTTCTAGTAAGATGTTTCTCGAAAAACTTATCTAGAAAGTTATTTTTATCATCAGGTTTAATTTTAAACTAAACATTGCCTGTATAAAAAAGGGCTACTAAAATATAAATAAATACATTGTTGGTAATAACCCCTGTAGGGAATGAATGAAGTGACAAAAAAGAAAAAAAATTGTAGACATGTGAAGTTCGCCAACAGCCAACACGCATTGGGGTAGCGCGGCAAACATTTCCTTGCCCTAAAATCATCTCACATTTTAGGGTAGGCCTATGCCTACTACTAAAATAAGTCTCATAAAGTATTAAAGTAAGTTTGCCCGAAATAACGTACAATACTTTTGTACAAAGTGCGGGTGGCAACCCTAGCGTGACCGAAATTCGGTCTGGAGGATCTTATTAAATATATATACTCAAATCAAGAAAGTCTAAGAAACGTTGTGTCCACTCATTCCAATTCCTTAAATTATTATTACCATATTCCATGCGCTCCGAATTTATGCCAGAAGAATGAAATTAGTTATAATGTGATATACATGTACTACCTAGGTAGTAATAAGAGTGATCTAAATGTGCTCAACTAAAATTTATTTTACATACAAAACAACTATTCATGCAACCTAAGAATCTTCTAAGCTGATGATTCTGACATTTTATTCCACGTCTTATGTAAAAAAAAAGATTCGTGTGATCTTGAATGATTTTACCAGAACGGAAACGCAAAATATAACAAATTATCACATTGTGTGTAGTCCAAATATTAGCGTCGTTCGGAATTCTACTTGGCTGAGATGCCAAATATAGTACCTAACTAAAACAATTTGTAAACAAGTTTCGAAATACATAGATGATTCATATTTAACAGTGGAATCTAGGCTTCCCTAAAGCAGGGTGTAAAGTTGTCTGCCATTTAAATTTTCCAAATTTGTAATAATTATCCATTCTGTTTGTATTATGCTATGTAATATTAATTAAAAAAAATTGATAAGTAAAAAGGCACATGCGGAGATTCTTTCGCCGTTTCTTCTCCCGTCAGAGGAACTTCATTATAAAACGATCGTATATTTGAAAAATATCGCTACAACAATCGAAATTTATTTTCTTTCGTCGAAGAAATAATTTTATTTCATTTTATTACTTTCGAAACTTACTCTTTACTCTTATCTCGTCGGCGTGGCGGAGTCGGGAAGTTCCGAGGATACAACTACATAGGGTAATTATATTACACCATTTGTTGGTGCAAGTATGAGGGGCGTTTTGTATTCTCTGTATGTATATGTTAGAAGAAAGATAAATAATGAGATATTTTTTTTATTTTTAAGTGTAATCTCCCATGACATCAATCGATACATTTATTTACTTGTTCGTGATAAAAGCTTTTCTATTCCCTTAAAAAAATATTCTTCGTCTTGGTCTGAAAAATGCTCATTTACAGCGGACTTGAGCTCATTATCGTCAGCAAATCGAAGATATTTAAGTTGGGAATAAAAAGTAGTCACTAGGAGCTAGATCTGGGCTGTATGATGGTGGGTGGCTATACCGAGAGTAATGAACTTAGTTTTCGATGCGTTTAGTGTCAGTATGTTTTTGAAGCCATTGTGTTGTCTGTTGCAATCCCATTTCAGCCTTGATTCTAGTTTCCTCCCAAGTTTTACCATGAAAAACAAGTGCTGTGTCATCGGCGAATGTAAAGATCTTACAATTGTTCAAATTAAGATTACATAAAGTAAAGTAAAGTTACAGCCTATATACGTCCCACTGGTGGGCACAGGCCTCCCCTCATTTCTGAGAGGGTTTTAGGGCAAGGAAGTGTCCGCCGCGCTGCCCCAATGCGTGTTAGCGAACTTCACATGTCTTCGAATTTTTTTTGTTATTGCTCAGAAATGCAGGTTTCCTCACGATGTTTTCCTTCACCGCCGAGCACGTGGTAAATCAGCAAGAGCCGTGGTGGCTCAGATGGTTAACGCTCGCTGTAAATATAACAGAATGCGAGTAACCCGGGTTCGAACCCCGCCGGCACCAATGAAATTGTTAAATGCAATTTTAAGTGCTGATTTAAGATTACATAATTCATTTAAATATATTAAGAAGAGACGGTCCGAGGACGCTGCCTTGTGGCACGCCATAATTGATGGGAGAATCTAAACTAGTCAGGTCACCAACCTTTACCCTTTGTCTTCTGTGAGAAATATAAATTTCAAACAGACGTAACGGTTTCCCGCGTATACCTATTTTATGCATTTGATCTAGAAGTGTGGGTGCAGAGACTGTATTGAATACTTTCACAAGATCTAAGAATAAACTATACATTTATTTTTCATATCAATTTTGCTGAGCAAGATAATCTGTTAACCCAGTAACTGCTTCAGAAGTACATTTGCCAGCTCTGAAATCATTGATTGCTTGATAGATGAGCATTATTTCCAAAAAACACATTAATATTTATATATTTTATTTATTATCTTTTCTATAACTTTTGATAGGGCTGGCAATACCGAGATAGGGCGATAATTGTTGATGCAGTCTCTTGGTCCAGATTTATGAATAGAATGTATAATCGATATTTTAAATATTTGTGGAAATACACCTGTAGTGTGTTCACAATATGTGTTAAGACGGGTACTATATGATTATTACAAATTTTTAAAAATTTATTGGATATACCGCCCCAACCAGTAACGTTGTCATTTTTAAGCCCTATAATAATGACATTGTCATGGAATTTGCAAGAGCGGGTGCATTCAAGTTAGATAATAGGTTCTTTTGTCAGCTGTACATTCATTAACTAATTTGGTTGCTAGGTTTTCCCCAATTTTAGCGAAAAAGTTGTTGATATGCTCAACAGAATTTTGGGGGGTGTCACAAATACGGAGTGGGTCTTTAGGTATAGCCTAATACCTAAAGACCCACTCCGTATAATTTATTCATAAGAACATTAGTTTTAATGGTGTCCCAGGTCTTTTTAGGATTATTAAAATACTTTTTCAGCTCATTTTGTTCATAGGTTCTTTTTATTCGCTTGAGCAGATCTTTGCAATAATTTTTCAAGAGATACCCGATTTTCCCTTACTGCAATCCCTTAATGAAAACGTCCTGAATATCGCTCAGTTGGAAAACAACAGCAAGGACTTTACAGGTATTTTGTAGTATATTAGTAAGATCCAACTTATCATTTTTACTAGAACATGGTACGTTCCTAATTTCTATAGTAGTTGATTTCAGCAATCCTTGCATGTCCTCGACTTTTGCTAAATTGAAGAGATATACAAAAGCTGTTCTTTGCGTTCTCGTTCTAGAGTTTTCACTCTTATCAAAAAACCGTCAAACTGATCAGATAAAAACTGTAGAGATTTTTCAATCTCCTGATTAGACTGTTGAATTTCGAAATTTTGAACTTCTATTTTGGCTACGTCTTTAATAAGATTATTGAGAATATGATTTTGGCTTTCACTCATTTCATTGATCATAGATTTCAATTCTTCTTTGAATTTCGAAAATAAATCTTCGCAAAATGGCTCTCTTAATCTTTAGTTCGCTGGGTTACATATGGCTTGTGCTCTTGCGCAACTAAAAATACGTCAGAATCTGATGCTGTGTGTGGTATTAGCTCACTTGATGGAGGGTTTCTTGTAAATCGGCTCATTATTAGGAAGAATTTTCTTAGGTTCAAAGTTTAAGCGATGCAATTTTCGACGTTGTGTTGCACAAAGACCGGTCTTACTCTGATATTCTATCTCACTCGTTCAACAGGCCGCAATTAACACTGCACTACCGGTTCCACACTTGCACAGCACTTTAACGTTTATAAGCGCCTGGTACTCGTAGTAATTTAATGTCGCGAATCAATATTTCATAAAATTTATTTTTACAACAAAAATATGTGTGATCACGTTCCACATCAGGACGGAAGTTATCGAAGACTTGTGTTCATGGCACAATAACTCGATACAGGGAGACAGGCACTTTTCAAGATCATCCACGCTCGGGAAGGCCGAGAGCTACCGCGTCAAGTGAAGCTCATTTCATTATTGTTACCAACAAGCGAAATAGACGCTTCGTGCGTCATATTGCCGGTAGAAACAAAAACCGAGTTAAACCTATATCATTGACTACAGTAAAACGACGACTGAGAGTTGCAAAATTGTATGGTCGTGTCGCCGTTCAAAAACCTCTGCTAAGGACACAAAACAAGAAAAAACGGATAAAATGGGCCCTTGCCCATCGAGATTGGATTGAAGAAGATTTTAAAAAAGTTCTTTGGACCGATGAATCCAAGTTTTAGCTATTCGGTTAAAAACTAATAATTTACGTTCGACGCAGTTACCAAAAAAAGATGATGCCAGATAGTCCCAACAATCAAGCATGGTGGTGGCTCAATTATGGTCTGGGGTTGCTTTTCTAGCCAAGGAACTGGCGATTTGATCAAAATTGACGGAATTATGAAAAAGGAAGAGTACCTACAAAAAAAATTACGAACAAAAGGCCGTTCCTTCGGGGTTGCGATTAATTGAAGATGGATTTATTTTCCAACAGGACAATGATCCTAAGCATAAGAGGTGTTAAAATAGATCTCAATGCCACTGAACTTTTGTGGGACGAGCTTGATACGAACGTCAGTAATTGTGGTCCATCCTCGCGAGAAGTAACGTGGAATGGTTTGTGCGAAATTTAGAGAAACATATCACAAGACACTATCAACAGATTGATTGCCCGTATGCTGAGAAGCTGAAAAAGTCGTAGAATGCAAAGGAGGATTTTTGATGAAAAATCAGTTTACCTAACTATAGCGTTTTTTAGCATGAACTGTTAATATTACTTTACGCCTTTCAAGTATATTGATTGTCGAAAAGTGTTTTATTTGACAGTTTAATTAAACATTTAATATTTTATTGGAGTTTTATTTAATTTCCCTACTTTAATTAAGGTGGTCTTAAACTTTTGGCCGGCAGTGTACGTAGGCACTTCTCAAAAAGCTTTGCTATTGCTATCAACTTGCAGTCTCAAATGATTGTATCCTATACCTTTAAATGAGCAATATATATATAATCGGAATCTCGGAACCGGCTCCAACGATTTTCATAAAATTTTGTGTGCAGGGAGTTTCGGGGGCAATAAATCGATCTAGCTAGGATTTATTTTTAGAAAATGTCTTTTTGTCCGTGTTTTTAGGCAATGAAAAACTGCTACAATATCGTTAGAATAAGAAGGTATGGTATATATATACTGTCATTGACAGTTTATTAATGATTACAAATAGCTTAATTGGCATATTGGGCGGTCACAAAATCGTAATACCTTGGCTCGAGCCCAGACCGACTGACCGACTTTTTTTAATTTTTTTTTCAAGTTCCTTTCTTTTTTGAGAAAATCTATTTTTCGTGCCCTTTTTTAGTATTTTTTAAAAACACGAAAATTTAAATTAAACTAATTGCACTCATGATTTTTTATTCAAATAACCAGTTCAGTTTTTTCTATTATGTCGCTACGATCAAAAAATATTATTCGTATTTCATCAGTATGTAGTTTGTATCTAAATATAATTTCCAAAACACACGAATAAAAAATACCGAGCAAAGCTCGGTCCACCGGGTACTCTATATTTTGCTGCGAAATTCAAGAAATCCTTGAAGTAAAGTAAATTAAACCTAGTAACCAAAAACGCGACAATTGTAATATTTAATTAACGCAAAATAACTCAGCTAATGTAGAGGTCTTATTTTAGTCCTCAGGGCAGGACAATCCACTTACCTAAATCCTGTTTTCTTATCGAGAAATATGTGTATGATTATCTAACCATAAGTTCGATTGTACGCTCATTTGCACAATTTAGATAAAAAACGATAGAATTATTTATTAATTTCAGGCGAGTACAGATTCGTGTGTCCCGTACAGTCCTGTAACAAAGCCTTCCTTACTTCGTATAGTTTGAAGATACACGTCCGAGCGCACACCAAAGCAAAACCCTTCGCCTGCACTATTGGAATCTGTAATAAGGCCTTCAATACACTTTACAGGTTAGTTTATTTTGGAATATGTATACACATAAATACCATTTCATTACTTGCATTCAATAACATAAAATACCTCAGAGTTAATTAAGTTAATCATTACATGCTTAATAATTAATTGGTGGCTTTGTCGCCGCGCCAAAAGCGTAAACGAACCAAATCCTAAATCACGATATTGAAGTTTCTGAATAAATATAATAATAATCTCCGTATACGGAACTCTGACCGCTTCTCGGGCCTCAGGCTTACCTACCGCAGCAGGTTTTCATCATCCATTTTTCCGCCACGATCAAAGACGTGACCACGGCGTAATGTAAACACGTAATCATTGGAAACTTCTCCATCTGTCTTGTCTTCATCTTTCTCAAGAAACTTCCATTCGCTCCCGGGCATGCATCATTTGCAGTCTTCAGATCCTGCAATCCAGCCTTGCTTTACAAAGTTCATCGCGGTATTGGAATAATGCTTACTTCAAACTACTCCGCGCTACAGTATTCAATACTGCTCTGAGCCCTTACTGCTCGCTTTTGCTTAACGGAACTCACGCAGATTAGACTTGTCTTCTCGACTTACAACATGGACTGCCATCGTCCTCCAGTCTGATCAGAAGGTTGATGCCGCTATCATCGCGCTACAAGCGTAAAAAATTTAAATCACAATATAGAAATAATACTAGTTTTTACGGATTTTATCGCGTATATTTAACTATAAATACCCGACGTTTCGAGCGCTTTACAGCACCAATGGTCACGGGGGGGACTAAGATGTTCAACGTCCAGATATCATAGTTAACAGCGGTTATCATAGATAAAAAATTAACTTTTGTTCCGATCTACACAGTATGAACTTATGGGTATCTTGAAGTCTTGCAGTTGTACGCTTCGGTTGGGATTTAATTTTATTTGTTATAGGATCCCAAGCAGATGGTAACACTCAGCCATCTTCTCTATTGAAATTAGGATGTTTTTTGATTTCAATAGCCTCACGAATCATCCTTGGAAGGAATCGGTGATCTTTAGCGAGGATTTGTGGTCTATCAAATCTGATGTAGTGACGGGGGCGATCCTGTAGGTGTTCACAGACTGCAGACTTCCCGGAGCGTCGATTCTTCACATCCGTTGTACTTATGCTTATCACATACCTTTTACATGCTATTTGCTTCAAGCACGATTTTATAAGTTTGGTTAGCACTTAAATTTATGTAGTTTAAATGTTTATTTCTAGTTTTGGGGAGATATACTTTTTTACATTATAAACGCTTAGCCTCAGTGCTCTTTTAGGCTTTTTCGTAATTATTGTAAATAGTTGCTATTCACTTATCCATATTAAACATTAAAACATTACATAAACACTCATGCCTGTCACCCAGAGGGGTAGGCAGATACTACCACCACACACACCTCTCTCTCGCCTCCTCTTACTCATCGGTTACTACATATTATATATATATAATAATACAAAAAGTATTTTTAAAGTTAAACATCATCAATTTGCGTAACAATTCATTTAAATCAAAGTTTTTGTTTGTGCCTTTTGCTGTCTGATAAATTAGAAAATTTCAAACTTTCGGTATCACATGGCTCGAGTTTGTTGCCTAGTGATTTATGATGAGATTGGAAATTTGCCAATTCGTATATTGTGTGTAGTACATGCTTGTGATAATGTAAATCAACCCGGGCATACTTTGTTTTCATTTATGTATTTATATTTATTTTCCTTGGTAATGAATTCGTACATTAGCAAGTAATAGAAATATATTTTATACTAGGTGGTAGCCGACGCATTGTCGCCGCAAAGGAAGTAATTGTGTAAATAGTTTAATTAGGAATAATAATACATTCATTGAAGTTAAAATAATATATAACTTTCAAATAAATTTGTCGGTACGATACGCATGCCACCAATTGTAAGTTAATTATACTATATGCCTATATTTGAGCATTATTCCGTTTAATATAACCTACAAGCACATAGTTTCTTTTCCTGTAAAATTTCTCTCGTTTCCTGTATAAAGGTCTTCGGTTCGCTACAATCACCATACGAAACACTGCAGCATATTACGCTGGTATTCTGTGACAGCGTGGTCTCTTCCTTTGTCGAGGCGACCAATTCATGCTACCACCATAATATTGCCGCAGCGTGGCTCTATCACGTGTAAACATTTATAAATTTCTCTGGTACTGTTATCTAATTATCAATGAGCTGAGGAAATAAACTAAAACAAATATATCAGACATACCGCGAATAGTTGTTATGGCGAATAGTCTATACTTACCGATTACTCGCCATTCCTCATGGCGAATAGTCGAATACTCGCTATAATTATTCGACATAAAAAAAGGAATATACAAAATAATTTATTTGTTATCATATAATAATATTACACTTGTAATATGCTCTTGAACGTACCTATCATTTATATGTTTACTGTAATTTAAAAAAATTAAGATTATGACCCTTTTGTTGTACGTAACATATTTTACGGGGAATACCTCATTTTGTGTAAGAAATGACGTCCAAAAGACCTCGCTTAGACGATGAAAAGTGGGATGTCGTTTCAGAAACTCATGAACTATTTTGGCCACATAGAGTAATTAGACTTAGAGTGATAGTGTCATTCAAAATTTAAAGCAACAACGCAATGAATGTGTGCATAAGCGGCCTGTAATTACGTTTGCCCGCACGCACACAAGCAAATGAGTAATGTATGCAAGTAAATGACGATTACCCCAAAAAATGGGCAAAGTATAATAGACATAGTCGTAAAATTTATATTTAGGTTGCGTTTAGAATTTATTAATTTACAAAGAGAGAAATATAAAATTACTTATATTTGTTAACTAATATTTTATTAAAATTATTTATATACGTAATATCACATGCTATAATAATATTCACAAATCTATTATGTCATTATATTATTCTGTTAGAAAAGATATATTTATATAAGTATATAGTATTATATATTTATATAAGTATAATATTAACTTTTTTGAATTGGCGTTTTGTATTAAAATAAAATAAGATTCGGAAGGAGAAAAACTATTCAAATAAAACACGAAACTAAAAATATTTATTAAATAACTATATACCCAAGTACTTAAACTAAACGTCTCTTACTTAATAAGTAATAACCCTGCATCTGCAACTGTTTTCTAAATAACTGCCGCTTTGATTACGCTATCCGCGAAATATTATCTTTTTTGGATTCATATAAGAATCGAACTCTTACATAACGTTCTACAATAAACCGCGCCAGATTTGTGTCGTGATGTTGCGAATTTATGTGCTCTTCTACAGTAGGAAATAGAGAACGACCAACGAGTTTGGCAATAATTTTGAGAGGTAGTTCTTTCTCTGATTGTTTTCCTGTGCATTATGCTTAATATGATTTCGCAGATTATTTTCAGCAATACTACAAATGGAGTAAACTTCATTAGAAATTTTCAGCAATACTACAAATTGAGTAAACTTCATTAGAAACGTAAATAAGTTAGTTTTCTTTGCTTCTTCTTCTTCTTCTACCTAGCGTTTAAGCGGACCCTGGGTTCTCCCAACGCGGGAGAACCCAGGGTCCGCTTTCCTACACTTCCTCTTCAACTTTGCCCAGTCTTCGGCGTCCCTCGCAACTAGCCGATTGGCGCGCATTTCATCCTGCACGACATCAAGCCAGCGTTTCTTGGTCGTCCTCTACTCCTGGTACCAGGAAGAGTCATGTCCAGGTATTTGTTTTCCACGTAGCTTGCCGGTCGTCGTAAGACGTGGCCGTACCAACGTAGGCGACTTTCCTGCAGCTTGTCAGCAAAGTCACGGACATGGAGGCTGCCGCGGATGTATGTATTCCGTACATGGTCTTTCCGCGTGACGCCACACATCCACCGCAGCATGTTCATCTCCGTGACATGCAACACCTGCCGGTGTCGCTCCAGCACCGGCCACGCCTCACTGCCGTACGTAAGGACAGGCCTTATGATGGTCTTATAGACCTATCCCTTCAGCTTGACCGGCATTTTGGGGTCACAAATGACACCCGTCACCTCGCGCCGTTTCGCCCAGGCCGCTGATATACGGGCCTTGATGTCGCGATCGATGTTCCCGGACGCATCAAGCACAGATCCGAGGTACCTGAAGTTGTCCGTGCGCTCGACGGTGTCGTCGCCTATACGGAGAGACGTCAGATCTGTGCTGTTGCAGGCCGTATACTCCGTCTTCGCCACGTTTAGCTTCAGCCCGCCGTTCTCAAGCGCCTCCCTCCATGCGTGCACGCGTCTGGTCAGCCGTCCTTTGTCCCCATCTACCAGTGCGATATCATTAGCGTACATAAGTATTTATAATAATTTCTGTACACTGGCTGACAGTTCGTCTAATATCACACTGAAGAGATAGAGGCTTAAGACGGAGCCCTGATGCACGCCTACGGTTATGGGGAAGGGGGTGGTATCACCAACAGCGGTCCTGACTATTGAATCGGAGTTGCGGTACATGTCACGTACGATTTCCACGTAGGTCTCTGGTACCAACTTCGACCGCAACGCTGCCCTAGAGTAAAGAGAAAATTGAACACCTTATCAGACGAACTGTCGGTTGCAATACAGGCCCACAGAGGAGAGGCCTGGGAGCGGCGCATATGGAAAGCTGATGAACAGCACGCGTCGCTCTACACATTGAACCGGCAGTTAACGAAAACTCGACCACCTGTTTGCCCGCTGACCAACAACGCGGGCATTCAATGTTACGATGCCAAGGGCAGAGCGGATATCCTAGCTGAGCACTTCGAGGAGCAGTTTATGCCGAACCCTACGAGTGCGGAGTTCCTGGAATCCCATTTACGGAAAGAAAGCCGCGTGCAGGAGCTCCTGTCGTCGCCCGCGCCACCGCTTGCAGGAGAGTGGTTTATCTCCCCCGCTGAACTGCGGAGGACAGTAACCCGCCTGCAACCGAGGAAGGCGCCGGGGCACGACGGGATTACTAATGCTGCACTACGACAGCTGCCCAATAGAATCCTT